AAAAAAAAGAAAAAAACCCAAAAAAGCCACTAAAATATTGCAATATATAAGTATTGTTTCTTAAGCAGCAATTTTCTAAATGTAATTTAAAAATAGTTTCATCTTAATTAATGTGTATGAGAAAAGTAACAAACAATTAGACAATTAAATACAAATGAAAGATAAGCAAAGAATTAAAAATGCTTATACCTGGCAACAAAATAAAATTACACTAGTAAGTCCAACCCAGCTATGAAGACTGTACATGTTTGGAATTGGTGGTGTATTTAAATTGTGACTATCAAACACAGCCACAAGAGCAATTACAACTAACGTAACAGTGAATAACATGATGCCACCATGAAGTAGTTTGAGTCCTCGTTTTCGAGCATTCCTTTGTGTTCTATATATTAACATACCTAAAAGAATTGGAGATAAGTTAATGGAAATATTAACTATAATTCAATTAATTCTTTTAAATGCTAAATATACCATTAGCATATAGAAAGACAAATCCAATAACCATTAATAGAGGATGCCAATTATATTCCAACTTTGGATTGGAACTCCAAGAAAAGCCACCTCTATAATAGCCACACCAAACAGCAACTAAAATTACTAGTATTGCTCCAATAATTTCCATTAAAATTGTTAGTGGTTTGAAACCTTCTAAAGATACACGTGGCTCTCCAATTTGTTCCATGTCTGAAAATAATTTTAATTACTTATTTTTAGTTTAAAAATATCATAAAACAAGGTACACAAAGTTACAAACTTACAGAGAACATGAAAATGAAAAAAATTTTTGAAATAAATAAGTGACATACCTAAACATATTTGGTATACATATGGATAATTCGTTGACATGATTCAATTAAAAACTAAATTCTCTATTTGTTGAAACTCTAAATATTCTTCTTTATATAATTCTGCTTAGACTTTTCCACCTTTTATTTTTAAAATTACTGATCAATATAGATGTATTTTTATTTCTTGGTAACATTTTACAATAATTTTCTGTTTAATCTTTATTGTTAACTTAGAGAATTTTTTTCACTCTTGTAAGAATTTAAAAATTATGCAGTATTTCAACATATAAAAGAAATTATATTAAGCCTCTAATTAAAGTGTGTGAATTTATGCAAAGAATGAACCAGATCTTAATTTATCCAATAAAATAGTCCTACAGTTCTTTAACATATGGTACCAATTATTTAATTTTCCTTTTGTTCTGATGTTTTAAATATATTTGCAATGCATATGTAGATATCTCTAAAAATAGATACATTATATAATGACATACATAAAAATACGACACTTAAATTGTAATAATACTTGTCATAAATAATTTATCTGTGAGGTTTTTTTTTCTTTGCATTATACTATGTTTACAATTCTAAATATTAGAAAATTTACGTTCTTCAGTATCTATCTACTTATTTAACGTTTAAAAGTTAATCCCCTAAATTATGTTCAACAAGTGTTAAGCTGCTCTGTTAATCTGGCTAATAACATTTTACATATCAGGTTAGATTTGTTGGAATATTAAAATGTTTAGTGTTACTAAATTAAAAATAAAACGATTCTCACAATAATTTAACTCAAAAACCAAGGAAACAAACAGTTTTTAATTAATTGTGACATATGAAATTGGTCACATTACCTGAAAACCTTTTCTAATAGTTTCGAAGAAAGATCAACAGGTACTACGCAGGTTCTCCAACGACGTAAAATAAACTATCGATTTTACGCAGTTGTGGAATGTAATATTTAAAGTTATCGCACTTCTAGTCAATAGAACAACTAAATATAATAAAATATTTCATTTCAAACTAAAAACAATTATTTAAAACACGATTACAATTTAACTTTTCTAATAATGAATCTAATATCAAACAAAAAAAATGAAAAGACTAAAAGAAATAAAATACATATATTTATTTAAAATTTAATTTGTATAAAATGTAATCGTTATAATATATTTTTATATCAAAACATATATAATCAACAAGTAAGATAAAACAAGTAGGTATTTTAGATGATTTTATTGTTAAATGATTTTTAAGATAAAATATTAAAACAAAATTATTGCAATATAATGTGTTTTATTAATCAAATTTAATTTGTTTAACGATATTTATTATAATAATTTCATATTACCGTAATATATAGTACTTTGTACAAACTTTCTGTTTCGTAAGCAGAGTATTCCTAATAATGCGCCACCTCAAGCAAATAATTGAAGTTTCAAGATAACCTTAAAAAATTTAGTCGATGAATTTTGTTAATACATACATTTACTCTTATTATTAAAATATCTTAAGATGATTGCAAAAGGAAGATTTTTCTTAAATTTAACAAGAAATAAAAAAAT